AGATAGATAGATAGATAGATAGATAGATAGATAGATAGATAGATAGATAGATAGATAGATAGATAGATAGATTCCAAATAGCTATTATTCAGTTTGATAGTCCCACATGGAAATTTCTATGGCAAGATAGGCAACCAAGAATTTCATGGTAAAGTTGAGACTACCTATTGATGATGGGTTTTCCTTACCAGATTGTTAACACTGTCATTATCATCTCTATTTAAGGTAACAGAATTCATAATTAATTAATTTGTTGGCTATTACTATTTTTGTAAATTATTTTTTTCTGTATTTCTTTTGTAAAATAGCATTTAAAAATGCTTTATATCATCTTTAAATTTTATTGAGGAGATCCACATATAAACAAGCTAATGTAGTTTGGCTTTGATACCTTTCCCAAAAGCTCAAAGAAAACCCCTTTGAAATCTCAGAAGTAAGAGATGTCACCACAGCATATTATTCAACTCTTCTTTTTCCAATAGACCTATGCTTTGTAAAGGAATGAAGTTTGTCTTTCAGAATTATTTTACACTGAGGAAATCTTGCCATTTTGGCCCAAAGCCGTCCAATAAGACTCAAAACTGTTTGGAATCTAATACTGCGTCATGATATATCAAAATCAGGGAGAGAAATATCCTTTACAAAGATTATTTTATTTGACACATTTATAGGAAATATTAGCTTTCAAGGAGTGTATTTTTATAAATTGCAACTCAAAACTGCATTCATTTTTTTAAAGTGCTTTCTTTCATTACAGAATTGGGTTAATTACTTACCTAGGATCACAAAGAAACTTGATCTTTTCTCCTTCATCTCTCCAAATCAACCATTCTCGAAATGAAGGATGTACAAACATTCGGGTCATATCTCTGCGTCTGATAAGAAACATAGAAAGATTTTCCATTCTTTGCTGAAAGTCCTCCCATTCTAAAGTACCTTCAATACTTCCAGCATTGATAGCCTGAAAAATATGCTCATCTGTCAAAGGATGTAGAGATGCCACTGCCACATTTAAAAGAGGCATTACCCGGTCAAAGGAAGACTGTGTTGGGAACTTCATATTGCACTGCAGTAGATATACTTCTGAAAGGGAGACAGGCACTACCTTATAACTGGAACTTTTTAACACCAAATAGCCCTTCTCAATTAGATCAAATGTGAGCTTAAGGTATAGGTATGATCCTTGACTCAGGGTTTTGAGATGAGAACTGAGTTTGCCAAAGGTTGTATTGTCCATTTTGCCATTAAGAGAGATGTTATTTTGTATTTCCGAGCTGCTCTGTATTCGGTGTAGTATATAAGCTTGGAGATCTTGATCTATAGCTTCATTTTCTTCCAGTCTATCCAGGAATATCCTATGGAAGGGCAATAACTTTATTATTTCCTAAAGGAGAGAGTGAGAAAAAAAATAACAAAGAACTTGAAGAAAGCTTACATAAAATATCTGATTGTATAAATACTAGCAATCTTTTACCTCCCAAGTAGCATCCCAAACCATATATACTGGATTTCTTATGCTTGGACCAAATCACTATTTTTTTTGTTTAATCTATTATTAGGCTGTTACATTGAAAATAGTACAGAGTTCCTTCTACTGTCTTACAAACTAAGATATAAAACAGAACAAGGCATAAGAGGGAACAGGAAAAAGTACAATTTTTATTCATATAGGCTTATTAAATGCGCAAGGATATGAGAAAATAATATTTTAAAAATTCTAAAATCCAATTGAAAGAATAAGGTGAGGACAATGGGTACATTTCCTACATGTTCATATTTTCTACTAGCTCTGTATTTATCTCTGACTGCACAGCTATTTGAAAAAAAACATTTGTGAATAGAGCAAGCATCCAACAAATAAATATAATTGTATTTTTCATGATACTTGGAAATGAATGAGAAGACTAATGTCCAAAAGGGATCTTGTCTTTTTTTAACAAACCTGAATATGTTTACACTGCATCAAATGGTTCTTCTGAGAAACAGAATAATTTCAAGAGCAGTTTATAATGAAACACAGGAAGATTGGAAATCCAGCTATATGGATCAGTAGAATTTTATAGATTGCAGAAAAATTGAATTATAATAGTTATTTATCATGGGAAGGTCACATTTTAGCTTTGGATCTCATATGAATCTAAAAATGATCACATTACATTTACATTTGATTTCAAACAATGATAGCAGATGTCTATCTTCTTGTTTTTTCTAAGAGATCAACAAATTACACATAGTATCTCTTTTATCAGGATCATAATGTTATTTTTATATTTCACATACCTCCTGACATACTTACTATGGAAATAGGCATAAATCCCCCCTTCCACAAATAGATGCTCATCACATTAATGATCATATATAGCATAGCTTATATCTACCTGTAGACTTGTTCTAACTGTTACAATTAGCTTCAGCCAGGATGGAAATTTTCCAATGGTTTTGCTGAGAAATGATACAATTGTATCCCCATAATCTGGTTTGTGAAATTCAGCTTCATTTAAGCCATCAATCAATATGATGAAGTCTTCATTTGGGATCTTCCGTTCTAGAGTTTGTGAGAGAGACATAGAAAAATATATGCAAAATTATATTAGATATGTTTTAAGCAATTATGTGGCCATTTATAGTTATGGAATTAATTTCCTACCTTTATGAAGGCTTTCCAAGGGTTCTAGGACTCCCCTCCGGAAAGATGCAAGAGGATCTTGAACACAGGATCGCAAACTAAGCATGCTTTGTAGATGTGGTTCACGCAACAGTTGCTCTCTGTATGCAACAAACTGGGGTGAACGGCAGAGCAAGGCTGCTACATTGTGTACGAATTCGGGCACCAGACAGGTGTAGGCATTATCAGCTTGACAATAGTGATATGCAACAACCTATAAAAAGGGAAGCAAACATTAGTTTCTTAGTACATACATATTAAATAAAAAATATTTTGTTTCATTCAATCAATTAAGAAGAGAGAAGTCTGCCAAATATCTGGAACTTAAGGGGATCTAAAAAGAAATATTAAAGACTAGTGATTCTTATACACTCTAGATTGTGCCTCTAGTTTTTGGTTCTGTTTTCCATTCAGCTGTACTCTTTTTTATATATACCGTATCTCTTAATTTTTTTTATAACCAAATCAGATTTGCTGTGGAGTCAAGTTAAATAAAGAAATATAAAAATAAATAAAACGTACAACTCTCAAAACATCAATGGACTTAGCCTATTCATTGGAAATAGTACTTGGTAAATAGTATAATAAACAGCAACATTTTGTTTTAGATTTCTAAAACTAAATGAATAAAATATGTAAATATTTCAGGAGACACTAAGCTATTTGGAGGCCATTGTCACCTCTGTCCCTAAAGAATAGATAAACATTGGAGTCCTTCAAAAGGCTGTCACCAAATTTTAATATACAAGAGAAAAAATAGAAAGGATTCTTTTAAAAACTAAATTTAACTATTTATCTTATTCTGTTTTTATTGCATTGAAATATTAATCACTTTATTTTATTTTTAAAACAACCTATAAATTATGATTTACTGCAGCTGCATAAATTTAATATATTTCCCTTCCACAAATTAATCTTTTTGTCATCTAATGTAGAAAAAGCTTGGTACTAGAGAACACATTTATGACAGGTTATCACAGAGGGCTGTTAATAATCCACAATCTCTTTCCCTACAATCCATACTGTTGCAACCACCAATTGACATGGTGGGGGTGAGTGTACATTTGTAAGAAATCACCACTATATTTCATTCAGGGACTAATTTTCTTCTCATACCTTATTCCAAAGAAAGAAAGCAGGTGATCTGTGGATTTTTTCCACTCCCATTTATTTCTCTTGCTTTTTTCTAATGTCAGAACTAAAAGGTATATTAGGCAATTTCCCAAACAAAATGAAAGTAGCAATATAATAAGTTACAGGTAACTATCATGTTTATTTATATTTCATATTTTTTAACCACCCATCTCCATCAGAGAGGAGCTCAGGGCAGTGAGAGGGGGGCTCTGGGTGGTGTACATATATATTACAGTTAGCAACCAGATTATCATTAAAAGGTCAAATAAATAGGAAATTGGGTCTCTGTCAGCAGCAAGGCAACTGCATAAACATACAAAATTTACAAAAACAGCTCAGAATAATCACTGATATAATGTTCCTAATAAAGAATTCTAATTGCATTTTGTTTTGCATTGTTCTCAAATGACTAATTCATTATTCCATGATTGAGATGGCTAGTTCTCACCTGGCAAAAGCCAGCCAGGATTCCTTCCTCCCAGGATTGAAGAAGAAAAGGCAAAAAGGGTGTTGGTCTTACCTGACACACTCCTTCTTGATGTGTAATCCAAAGCATGGGTATTGACTTCACCTTCTTCCTTTTAGAGACTGAATCCAATAACTTTTTCTACCATGCACCTCCTGGCTAACTCCCAGTGATGAAGATGTAACAGATGACTTGACGTACTCCTTGTCCCCCCCCTCCTGGACTCAGGACCAGACTGTCATCAGGGTGGGATTGGATTATCACGTCAACACATCGAGAAGGAACATGTCATGTAATATCAACGCCCTTGCTTCATTGTGCTAACGTGAGAATCCAAAGTATGGGATATACCAAAGCTGGCTTGTCCTAAGGGTGGGCCGTATTCTGGTCCTGAGTTCCAGATTTACATGCACTTTCTGGACAACCCTCTCAATGGTTCAAAGGTTTCAAGGAGATTACTTGCAGGACTTTGGGTAAGTCCCAGGTGGGATACCTGTGCACCCCAGAGGCTTTAAATTGATTGCTCCCTTAATAAATCTGTGCACCATAGGATGGTGCATGAGGGAATCTGGATCCCCGCATGATAACACCGATGCCAGCGCTGAGACCTGTCTGCGAATGGTGTTTGGGGACAGTCCTTTGTCTAGCCCATGTTGAAGAAATTCCAGGATCTGGGCCATCGTAACTGAGATGGGGTCTACTCCACCCTTGGAGCACTAACCAAGAAAGGTTCTCCAGATAAAGTTGTAGATCTTGTTAGTTGAAGGTCTTCTGGAGGTCTGGATTATTCTAATAACCCTGCTGGACAACTTGTCCTGTGTCGGGGCTCTCCACTCAAATGGCAGACAGTCAGCTGTAACCATTGTGGCTCTGGGTGCACTAGAGCCCCCTGACTGAAGGATATCTTTTCCTGTGGGATCCTCCAAGGTCTGGCTATCAATAGGCTGACCAGGTCTGAGAACCACAGTCTCCTGGACCAGTGGAGAGCTAGTAGCAATACTTCTGCTTTCTCCTCCAGCACCTTCCTGATTACCCTTGGGATCAAAGGAAGCAGGGGAATGTGGAGTGCATTGGCCTGCTCCACCCCTGTTGTTACAAACCTGCGGTAAAATCTCAGCAGCTAACTTTTTAATGGTATGGCAAAGAAGTCTAGAGACCTGAACCGATCTGTCATTTCCTTGAATAGTCTTGGATGCAGGCGCCACTTCATGTGATCGACTGTGGTCCTGCTGAGCCAGTCTGCCTGGAAGTACATTGTTCCTGAGATGTGTTGCGCTTTGATAAAGATACAGTGTCTCTCTTCCCAGACCCCCAACTGCTCTGCCTCTCGCATGAGCATTCCCCCTTGATGGTTGATGTGGGCCTTGGTGTCTCATGGCTGGGCAAACTGCCCTGAGTTCCAGACAGTTGATGCTGTTTGTTAGGTCCTCCTGGGACCACTGCCCCTTTGCCATCTGCGCCTGACAATAGGTGCCCCAGCCGAAGAGGCTGGTGTCTGTTGTGATGATTAGGCGGATGGCCTCCTTGAAGGTGCAACCCCTGCCTATGGCTTGGGACATCCACCAATGAAAGGACTGAAGCACTTTGTGTGGAATTGTCACTTGTTGTATGAATTGCTTTCTCCTGACCTCTGGTAAGGCAATAGAAACCACTGAAGGGCCTTTGTATGTAGACATGCCCAGGGCACTGTCTTGAAGTACAATACCATCTTGCCTAGAAGTTTGGATAGACTGGCTAGAGGGACCTCCCGGTCCACCAGAATCTGGTCTACTAATGTATTTATGCTGTCCTGCAGTTCCTGAGGCAGGAAGACCTGGCATAATGAGGACTCTACAATTGCCCCAGGTGAGGCAGATGGGAAGTAGGATTCAGATGGCTCTTTCTGTAATTGACAGAAAAACTGTGGTCTTGAAGAATCCTGATTGTGACCTGTAGATCCTCCATCGCTCGATTGTAGGAGGAGGACTGGACCAGGATGTCGTCTAAATAGCACTGGATTCAGATTGATAGTGCCCTGATGTAGGCTGAGATGACTTTGATGAACACCCTGGGTGCTGAAGACAGACTGAATGGTAAGGCTCTGCTGCCCTGTGTAGTAGAACCTGAGGAACTGTTGGTATTATGATAGGATAGGCTTATGGAGATATGCCTCCATCAGGTCTATAGATGTTAAGAAGTCGCCGTCGCAAACGCTCTCCAAGATGGACTGGAGGGATTGCATTTTGAACCTCTTGTAAATGAGGTATCTGTTTAATCTCTTCAGATCTCCACCTCCCACTCCCCGAGGCCTTGGGAACTAGAAACATTATGGAGTAGAACCACGGCCCTGTTGTTCTGCCGAGACTGGCTGGATAGCCTGAGTGCACAACAGGTGTTGGATTGCGGCCTCTATGAGGCTCCTCTTTGTGTTGTCTCCTGGTATGGGATGATGTATGAAGAAATGGGTGTGAAAAGAAATTCAAGTCTGAGGGCTAGTCTCACTGTGGTCAGAACCCAGGAGTCGACGTGGTTGCCTCCCATTGGTTCGCGAATAGTGCACTAGGAGGGTCCGACCTGGGGTCACTTGCTGGAAGGGATGGCCCCCAGAGCCATGAAATGATTTCTTGGCTTGGAACTGCTGTTTGGGCCTATCTCGGAATCTGGCGTTATCTGTCTGTTGATCAGCTCCCTGTAGGAATCTTCTTTCAAAAAAAACTTGGACCAGCTTCTGCTGGCCGAAAGAAGGAACTATGTTCATAAGGCGAGGCCCTCTGGTCCGCTTGTCTGTGCAAGGATGGCAGGATTTTCCTCCTGTCCTTGGTTTCCACCAAGATTGGTTCCATGGCCTCTTCAAATAGTTTGCCACCCGTGAAGGGTCTCCATTTGGATTTGGCATCCGCCTGCCAGTTGCAAAGCCACAGCATGCATCGAGCTGTCACCGCTGATGCTATAGCCCTGTAAGCGAATTTGGTTGTATCCAAATTGGCATCTGCTTAGAATTCCATCACCCCTATGAGTTTAGTAACATCTTGCTGGAGGCGTTGGTAGTCGGGAGAAATTCTGCTTTGCATCTGACGCAGCCAGCTAAAGAGGCCATATTGAAGAGTAAGGCTGTTGCCTGATGATCCCTGCGAAGGGCTAACTCTGTCCTTCTATCCTCTGATTTCTGGTGTGTCTTGGGCCACGAGGTTAGCCATAGTTAGGGCTGCTACTGGCCTGTCTATTGTTGGTACTTGTAGTTCCTCTGCGAAGTCTGAGGCTATGTTATAGAATCTCCTGTCGTTCCCATTTGGATATGTTCCCAGTTGGGCCCATTGTTTTTGGACCACATCATGAAACAATTGTGGCGAGGGAACCTCCTCCTTCTGCACCACTGGTTGTGTAAACAGGAGGGCATTTGGATTTGGTAGGCCCAGGGGTGCCTTTGAGGTACTAGGTTCATTCCCCATGTTAACTGTGGCCTTAACCTTGAACAAGAGAGGTCTGAACAAGGGAGGTATAAACAGGCTTGTGAAAGCCTGGAGCTCAGGAACTGACCCCTCGTAATCTGAGAGACTCCACTCTCTCTGATCCTCCTCTCCTAAAATCCAATCCTTGCTTTGTAGAGATGGAGTGGGGGAGGTTGGCTCCCAGAC